TAGTAAGCCAATTAGACAAAATTAATTATTTGTATTTTATTTATTATATAAATGTATTTTCCATGTAGGTGTGCACCTCATATGCTGTTAGCATTATACAAGTAAACATTAATGAGCTATTTGCATACTAATACATTCACCTGATGCATCTGAGATGTTTTTCCCTTGCATACTGAGTGCCAAGATAGGGTCTGCGGATGATGGCAAACTAATTACCTGTGAAAATTAAAGCCCTGTGTTTGCTCAGAGAATAACTAAACTGTAGGCAAGGATTGTTCCTCCATAAGCTACTTCAGTAAACCCCAACATTGGCTTCCTTTTTGCAATAAAGCTATATCTTTATGCTCCTTGATCTTTAGTCTCTTTGCTGATATTATTGAGGAAAGGCATATTAATAGTATTATGGTGTTGAAATTCAAGATCTTTGAGTTTGCAAGTACAAATTAAATATGGTATTTAATAAAGAAAGTATATTTCAGGGATAGAAGGCTTGCATTAAGACAACTAAGCTGTAGTTCCAAAGCACTACATTAGCTCTCTTTACTCAAGTTGGTGACAAATCTTTTTCTACAATATATTTCATTAAGTAGTAGATTAAAAAAGCACTTTCACTCAATACATATATACTAAAATAGTGACTAATCATGTACATATTCTAGAATTACATGCTGTTGCTTTTGGGAAGTTGATGTGGATTTCATCATCCTTAACATTTTATTAAAAAAAAATACTCTGTTGAACTGGGAGGGTAGAGGTTGTTTTCCAGTAATGATATATCTATATTTTCTGAATTTATAGTTTTGATGATTTGAACATTTGGATTCTCATTTGGACATTCAGTCATAGGATTTTGCATAATTCTGTTTTTCCTGGATATTTTGAAAAAAAATTACAAGACATTTTAAGAAAAAAAAAAAAAAGGAAGATATCTGGGGGCTCTGACCATTCTCATTTTGTCTGTGCAGTTCGACAATCAGCAAGCATTGGGAGGCAGAACTGGCCACGCTCAAGGGTAATAACGCTAAGCTCACAGCAGCCCTGCTGGAGTCCACTGCCAACGTAAAACAATGGAAACAACAACTTGCTGCATATCAGGAAGAAGCAGAACGTCTTCATAAGCGGGTAGGTCAAGGCAAACGGCCAGGATCCTTGGGGTGGAAGTACTGGTGACTGTATTTGCTCATTTTCAAGTAAAACAAGTTTATTGTTGGGGCTCTAGGTTAATCTTTGAGGCAGAAATTAATGATTACTTTAAAGTGCACAGGGTTCCTCCGTTGGGAACTTCTTTCCTTTGTAGCCGTTCTTTTTCTGCAAAGGGTATTGTTGCAGAAAGAATTATCTCACCTTATGATGTGTTTGCCAGCTTTCTCTCTTCGTTTGATGCCATCACGTCTGTTCCAGGATCTTCTCCATAGCATTACACTTGAGTCCCTCTTGCATTTAAGCCCATAGAAACTTGACATCAAATCTGTAAGTTAAAGAAACCCTGTTGTAGTTTCCACATATAACAAAGACGAACAGCTTCTCTCATCCTTAAACCTAAAGGAAACTGAATGTAGATTCAAGATCATTATATGCAATTAGAGATCTGCTCCCACTTTTGTACAGGAGGGGCTGGGTCCTGTTCCCTTCACTGTAAATTTTGCAGAGGTCATTTGGCAAACCAGAAATTAGTGCACAGTGGGGGAAGGAATTACAGTGTTTGAGGGAGCAATAAAGCATGCAAGATTGAAGGCTGCATTATGAAAACAAGTATACAATATTTTCATTTATCTTCTCTTTTCACATGTAACTATATATTGTATAATGTATTCACCTTTATCCATATGAATTGTCATCATAGCTTAGGACACATTTTTGTGCAAAGTGGAGGCAAGATTAGCACATGTATGGAGGGAAGATGTCTTTGATGAAGCTGTATTACTTCTGTTAATACCAGTTAACTTAGAAAAATATCAAGGAGATGTACTTAGTTAAGAAAATAAAAACAAACAAAAGCATTGCATTTTTGCATGAAAACGTTTCATATATATGCTGACAAGAAGGGAAAGGTCAAGTAGCAAACATGGCAGACCTTTTAATTTGGTTTTGTATGCTGTGCTCACCTATATGAAATAAGGTATGGCAATGACAGCCAAATCCTGCAAACTGCAAAGGATTCTTTCAGACCTGCACTGGACCTGTCCATCTGGAGGCTGTTAGTAGTCCCAAGAACAAGGCTCATACTCATCTGAGGAGGGGAGAAATTCAGCAGCCTACATCTAACCTGAGGATGTGGAAGAGGAGCAAGAACTCCCTTGAGCTTGAGAAACGTGGGGAAATGGCATGTTGTTGGGGCTGTCCTATGCCTAGACTGAGTTGCAGGCAAGGATCCTGAAGTCCCAGGCAAATGATTTGATAGGGAAGAACGACAATTTCCGATGGACTGTAACTGTGTGTGCCATAGCTGGCTGGACGAAATGCATGAAGTGTCATTAAAACTGGTGCTTTTTGCAAAGTGCTTTCAGTTCAAGAAATTGGCAGTTGCAGAGAAAACTGCTTTGCTTCAGAAATTTTCCCATCAGGCACAAGCTTGTTGTCTGTTTGTACGGAGGGAGACTTTCACTTTGTCTGTCATCTCATTTAAGCTTCTGCTTTGGAAGGGTGGGAGTTCTAACCTGTGCTCCAGGTTTGTGAATAGATGATAATAGTCATTGCTGATAAAATTATTTAAATTACAACCTTGTAGTAAAATTACTATAGTGCAGACATTCAGGTGGATTTGACCACCAGATAGGCGTTACAGTGAAGAACTCATTGCTAAAATGTGGACATAATGAGGTAGCATTCTTCCTAATAAAATGTATTAACAGCTTTTGTTGCAAAGCTGAAACAATACAGTCCTTACATAAGAAAGAAAAGTAACACACAACAGCAGCTGCATTTGCCATGGGGAGACCCAACCAGACAAGACGGGCAAAGATCCCTTTTCCTTGATGTTACTCACTCTTAGTCAAATCTTATTTGCAATCTGTTATTGGAAAATACAATTAATGTATATAGGAATGTTTAGCATGTCACTTTGCTTTTATATGATACTACAGTTAACAGAAGTAGTAACCAAATCTTTGTAGCTACATTCATTAATAGCTGATGATTTTTCATAAGCTTTGCCCAGCACATTTCCTGCAATTATTTTATATTTCTGAGGGAACGCAAAATCTTGTAACATGGGATCATCTACATATGTTCTTTTGATCACTGTTTACATGTCTTTATTAAATGTTTCTGTAATCTGTTACCTTGGGGCTTGTTGATATCTCACGTAGAATATAGGAATGCTCTGTACCTATGTCTCACTGGGCATGCCTGTAAATTACTACAGGATACATCAAGAGTACTGCCCTCTGTTGGAATTGCTTTTAGAAAAACATAGACTTGGCTAACTCAATAAATCGAACTTTATAGGCAAAAGTATGCAGATCATTAAAAAAAAAAAATCAATCTCAATCTGTTATCCATACAGTGCAATACAAGAGCTCTTCTAACCTGCATGCTGGAGACTGATCTTTCAAATTGAAATAGTGCCCCATTTCAAAAAGAAACTGCAAGTCAGATGCTTCTCTCTTACACAGATCAAAAATGTGCTGTTGAAATGGCAGATCTGGAGACTGTTGGTTATGGTACATGCGGTAGCAAGCAGTGTTAAGTCACTGTATTGTGTTACCTTTCTGTTCAGTTTATCCATTAAACTCAGTATAAACACGTAGCTGCAGCTGATCCAAAAAATGTTCCTCAAAATGGAATCCATCTCACCTGAGATTATGTAAAAGTTATATATCAAGTCTAAGATGGTAATCTTTTCTTCTTGTAATTCTTGGAGAGACAAAAGCATGAAGAGTAAGTGTCCCAGTCTTAAGAAAACTGACTAAGGTGTTGAGTTGAATTTGCTTCTGTAAGTGCTTGTCTTTCTCCATAGGATAATCATCTAGATAGTCCTATAGACTTACTTTTAGTCAGATGAAATGAACTCCATCCTTAGTTCATAGAATTACAGAATAATTTAGCATGGAGTGGAACTTTGGAGGTTATCTGGTCCAAATCTCCACTGAAAGCAGGGCCAGCATGAAGTTAGATCCAACTCCAGGGCTGGATCAGGTTACTCAGGGCTGTGAATCAAGTCTCAAAAAATGCAGATCCCACAGCCTCTCTGGGCAGCCTGTTCCAATGTTTGACCACCCTTGTCAAATTATTTTTCCTAGTATCTTATCTAATTGAAATTTGCCGTGCTGCAACTCACATCTGTTGCCAGTTCAGAAGAAAAATGGGGTTTGATCCAAAAGAAACTTTGGTGAGAAAAGTTGAACAGATCGGATTTTTAGAAATACTCATAGAAAAATTGATTTCAAGGACAAAGAAAAATTTGTAAATTAGTTTGCATATTCAGTTGTAATATAGTTGCTGTTTTATATGGAATAGTTGGCTGTCACAGCATCTTGCCCACTGGAGAAGAAGAATGCGTGTAGATACGTATGCATTGGAGGGATACACTCACCTACAAGATCATAGTCTTGTATAAAATAGACCAGCCTCCAAAATGAAGAATGGTACTGCCAACATTAGCTTCTATATTTAGTTCGATTTAATAATATATTATGTGGTTTATATATAATGTAATTGTGGTATTCACTCCTTACGTGCTTTAGGTTTATATACAAGTTTTGGTGCCTGAGTCATCGGTCTGCAAGCTACAGCAGACATATCCTCTGTCAAGTGTGGTGTGTGGAGGGAGGTAATGCATATTGATTAGTAAACTTTGCATTATTATTTCCATCTTTAGTTTCTTCTTTATATAAATAGCCTTATAAATAGCCTTATTTACATAGTTTCCTCTTAATAGTAAAAAAAAAAAATTATTGCTAATACTGTTGTACTAGTTGACTTCTTAAGGTATGTTTTACCACAGTTTGAACTTTGTCGTGTTTTATTTATAAACATCCTTTGATTTTACATTATATCTCATTCTTTTATCTTCTATTTTTTTCATTCACTGTGGTAAACTGGGTCTTTCATCTCGTGTAGTATTTGTTGTAAACTTTGCTTTTTAAGTTGATTTAAATTATTCTAAGCCCAACATTTTTTATTCTATAATTGTTTTTAAATCTGACTGAAATAGTTTTTCTGTATATCACGTTCTTTACACTTTTTAAAATACAGAAACAAAGCTAAAATACCCCTTTCTTTGATTTTGATTGCATTTTTAAAAATTAATTTCATTTATTATTTGCATTTCTGATTAAGATTTACTCATCTATCAGTTCAGTTTTTCATATTAAGCTATATTTATTATTTGCTTTCTCTGTGGTCTTCATCTTCCTTCTTCCATTTGTTCTCTGCATTAATAAAACCTAGAGCTGAGATGAAACAGAATAAAAGTTCAGAGTGGCTGAGCGCGAAGTTCTCAATAAATTAAAGTTTTGTGCTCTCTTCTGATATATTGTGAGCTTAAGTCAGAAATACTGTACTTTGATATTTTGTCAGACATTATATTTTTCAGAAGTTTGCTAAATGAGTGTATGGATTTTTCCCTCTCAAATACAAAGAGATAATAATTCTGGGAAGATGTGATGCCCAGTCAAAAGCTTAACTTGGAGCTCAGCCTTCTCTCCTCTAATCTGCTCAGAAGCAACTTAACAAGGATTTCCCTTAAACAGGGTTGGGGAGCACTCCTACACACCTTGCATAGCGTTTTGAAGTCAAAAGGGATTCATGAGTTTAGAACAGTTCAGTGACAGAAAGAAAAACCCTGAAGTGAGCTACTTCAGACAAATAGAATAGCATTGGTACTAACATTAATCCTGATACCACAAAAAGGAAAGGATTGAATGGTGATATGAATTATGGAAAGTAACCCAAAGTTCTGTCTTTGTCATGTTAAAAATGAAAATGATGAGTTTTTTTCTTGCATGCTAACTGCTAAAGTAAATCATCCTATGACACTGGGCAATAGCACAGAGTAATAACACCAGTGCATAATAATAAGAGCTGCAGTCCTTGAAGATCATTCATCTGCAGGAAAAGAAACCTAAGATAAAAAGAGATGAAGGGAAGTGATCAAGCTCTTGGGTACTCCTGAAAGAACA